TGCATGTGTCGAGAGGCACACGCAAGCCACAAATAGAAACTTGGGACAGAGAGGAGAGAGGGAGAGAGAGAGAGAGAGAGAGAACGGAAGAGGGAGCAAAGCCGTTCCGTCCCCAGTTATTCCCGAGACGTTTTAATTAGCACTCACTCTGACTTTGAGGCTTTGCTTATGCACAGCACAACGTATGACCTTTTTTTTAAGAAAAAAAAAAAAGAGAGCGCGAGAGAGATTGAGAGGGGAAAGGAAGAAAAACGCACTGGAGCAGCTCAGAAACTGGGAAGTCAGCTGAGCTTCAAATAGGCTCAGCGTCAGGCATTTAGAGGCTTTTAATAAGCTACAGAGTGAGAAATTTAACACCACAGGCACTATTTTTGATCACTTGTGGGGGGGGGAGAGAAAGACAGAGAGAGAGAGAGAAAGAGAGAGGGAGAGAGAGAGAGGAGGGGGAGGAGGTGGCGGTGAGAAGAGGAGGCAGCCAAGATTACATCCTGGGTGGCAGCGCTGAAAATAACCATGCCCCACTCCGCAGAGCCGCGCAGAGCCATGCTCACAGCCTGCCGGGGGAGACGCAAACCTGCTGCCCACTGACCTTTGCTGGAACAGCTGCCCACACAGGCCACAAGCAAAACCAACTTGTGTTCCCAGGCAAGTGCTGGAAGGCTGCAGGGAAAAGGGGATTACAGCAAAGGAAGAGGGACTCCAGCCCTGTGCACTCAGAGGCCAGTGGCTGCAGCGCTGTGCCTCAGCCTCCCCCAGCTGGCAAGTATGCGCTGGGTGAGTTTGCACAGCTAGAAGGAACCTGAAATCCCTCACTGGGAGGCGTAAGGAGGACAGCACTGAGCTAAGAGCCTAGCAACAGATGGTGTCGTTGGCAACACACACATCCTCAGGCGTCTGGCACAGACAGGATCAGATTCGGCCCCTTGCTCGAACCCACTCCTTCCCAGTGGTGCTGCCATTTCACGAGGCACGTGGGGACCAGCAGGTTTGCTGCAGAGACGCACAGAGCACCTCCCACTTCCTCCCAGCCGGAAGGCTAAGGATGACCCCAGGCAGGACTCGCTAGACAGTGAGGGGCTGCTCGCGAGCAAGAAACCAGCAGCTTTAATGGAACAAAAGCATCAACCACACCTGGAACACACCGATTCAGGAAAGGCACGCACCAAGGGAGGAATCTCCTTCCCTCACTGCTCTAAGATTATCTCCAAGGAGCAAGAGATTTCTGCCTGCTCTGCATGCTATGCATGCAGTGAAAATACAGTAACAGCTCACAGCAGCAGGGAAATGGGTCAAAGCCTGGGCAGCTGCTGTCCAGCTTCAGGAAGTACCACAAAGAAACAGCAGAGCTAATCTGAATTCTTGCAGCAAAGGAGCCGCAAGGCTAAGCAAAAGCTTGTGATTAATGGGGTGGAGGAGGCTCTCCAGAAGAGTCAGAACAGGAAGCCTTTGCTACGAACCCGCGCTGCCCCGTCGGCACCTCCTCCTGGGCTGCAGTAATCCTGTCCAGGTGGATTATTTGAGGTGGAGGTGGCTGATAGCAAGGGGAGGGGATTATAAAATCTCTTTGATAAGCCTTGGTCACATCTCCCTTGGGAATCCCCAGTAGAACCACAGACCAGTGCCGGAGGTACACACCCGCCTCAGAGCGGCTGCACTCCACCAGATCCCAATGTGGGGGCAGGAACCTGCCCCCGGGCAGCTAACCACCAGCACAGCACAAGCTACAATTTGCTGCCTCAGAAGAAGGTCACATGCTACAAGACAGGATTGCATTTCCTTTTAATTGATCAGAGCATTTTCTCCGCCTCCATTTGTCCTGTACCATCTGTACAAACGGGGGAAGCCAGGACAAGTAGGACAGTCTGGGGTTTCTTTACATCGACAGTGGGATTCCTGCAACACACAGAAGAGGAATCTGTTTTAATGCGAGGTGGGCTATGAAGAACAGCGGATACTGATCTGAGGGCTTGGCCTTCACTAAGGTTGTTAAATTGCCACTTGGTGAGAAAACAAGAGCCATCGGCTCTCTCAGACCTGACCTACACGGGCCAAAGAGCAAAGGGACCAGAGATCAGGGAGATAACGGGGGAGCCGCTGCCCTGCTGTACCTGCTCCAGGGAGAGGCCATCTGTGAGGCTTTCAGTGACTCACCTGTCAGGCACAGCGCACGCTGACTGCCGCAGAGCAAGTCTCCCAACTGCCAGCATGTGGGGGGGGGAAAAAAAAGAAAAGGGATGAGGTACAATCTTAGCAGGGTAAACGGGCCATGAGGTAAGCAGCCTTGCCTTGCCTTCCCTCCCCGGAGACAGAAGCTGTTTGTTTTTAATGGAAGGGAGTGTACATGGAGCAGAGACCACGCATCACTCTCCCTCAGGGGCCCCTGGCACCCAGCCTTCCCCTGGTGTGGCCAGTCCCAGACTGTGTCCCCCAACGGGGACCTGGAGGCAGCAGCGAGGCCTGCAAGTCTCTTGCCCCACTAGTGCCTGCACATTCACAGCTGTCAGGCTGGCATCAGGCTGCTAACCCAGAGGCACCGGGGCGGCGCAGCAGCACGGCGCAGTGGTGCGGTGCTGGTCCGTGCTGCCATCTAGCGGCTCCGGGCCGGCTCTGGGCAGGGTCCCCCACAAGCCCCCGCAGAGCTGACAGCTGAACACAGAGGGGGAGAGCTCTACTGTCCTCATTCCCTAAAACCCAGGCACAAACCTTTACCCCAGCCCTGGGGCAGTCTGACTACTCAGAGGAAGCTCCCTGCAGGCAGCACAGTGCAGGGACTCAGCTCCAGAGCAGATCTGGAAATCTCAGCCAAGATATATACAGAAGACACGTACCCTAATTACTCCAGGGCTTTTACGAGAGCTTCATTGGCTTCTACTTTAATCTGGGCTTCTGCTCTAGCTGCTTCATCAGATGCTGCAGCCATCTCCGAAATAGCCTTCTCCAGATTTGATTTTGCAGTCTGAACACGAGAGCAGAAGGAATGCGTCACTAAGAGACCACCAAAGGGTGACTTGTCCTACAGACCTTGAGTCACTCCCCTCCCACCCCTCCCTTCACTGCAGCAGTTAGCCCCGTGCACAGGGCCTCACACAGGGCTGCAGATGCCTGTTTACAAGCCTGTGCTGGCAACAGACACCTTATCAACAGGCCCCACCGTGGAAAAGCTGATCCCGAGACTAAGGGGGTGTCAGATCAGCATCTGTCCAAGAGCAGAGATGTGGCCTGGAGAAAGGTTAACAACTCCATGGTTTCCTTTCCCCACAGCCTGAAGAAGGGATCTGAGCGTTTGATCCTGATGAGTGGGTGACGGGGAAGCTCAGGATGAAGACGCAGCTCTTGGTCACTGCATGCTTTCCACAGCCACAGGAAGCTCCTGAGACAACCACCCCACAGAAGAGAAGCAGGGAGCAAATTCCCCTCCGTGAGGGAGCCTGGCTGCCAGCGCCTGTCTGAGAAAGACCAGGCGCAGCCCAGCCCACCGCCCTCAGGGACCAGGGTACTCACAGCCAGATCCAGCATGTCCATTGTCACTGCCTCCTCTGCCAGCACCTGCACGGTGGAGTCCGCGTGGACCGTGACAGAACCACTGCTCACTGCAAAGGCACAACGGGAGGACTGAGTCAGATGGGGCGGGCAGGGCTGCTGGATACCCCTCGCTTGGGGGCCAACGCACAAGATGGCTGTGGCAAGGCACCCGCAGCAGCGGGCACCCGCCGGTACCCCTGGGACTGACCCTTCCCTGTGAAAATGAGTGCAAAGGAAGGACTGCAGTCAGCTGCCACGGCCGTGGGCGTCTCCACCAAGAGGCTGCTCCGGCGCCTGGGGGACTGCGCCTGGACAGGCTGCGCATCTTAGGCCAATCACTGCTAACTGGATCCCAGGAAGCTCCAAGATGCCTTGGTCAAAGCAAATCCTCAAAGTCCTCCCATAACATTTATCCTCTCCCACAGATCCCTCGAGTGCTGTGGCAGCGTTAGCTTTTTCCTTTACCAAAGGGAAAACTAAAGCAGAGGAAACTCTCAGACGCTCAGCAACAGCCTCTGAACAGGATCAAGAAAATCTGATCCCCAGACTACTGCCTCATACGCTGAGCAACCATCTTCCAGAGCAACTCCCTGGCACCCTGGCCTCCAGCAGCCACTAGAAGGCTGGGAAAGCAGAAATTCCTGGAACTCCACCAGGGCACACCTTGATTGGCAGAGCCTCCCTTATGAAAGCCCTGAGAACAATCCCCCTACGCACACTTTCCTCCTTCCACGGCTCCGCCTGCTTTACTTACCAAAGTACTTGGTGGCCGTGCCATCCTCGGCATAGACTGTCACAACTCCGGGTTTGAGGACCTGCAGGGTGGGGACGTGAGAGGCCAGGATACCAAAGGAGCCAGTCAGCGTCGGCACGTCTACCTGCTTCACGTTGGCTCCATTGTAAAACACCTGGTCAGGGAGGGCAGAGCAGATGGAAACAATCTGTTACCATGAACAGAGGGGTGGAAGCAAGGGAAAGGAGGAAGGTCACTCCCAGGACTCTCTGGAGAGCTGAGCAATGTGGTGTGCAGCCTGCTCCCACCCGAGGGTGTGAGGGGCTGAGATAAGAGCCCTGGTCTGAGCAGCTGGCAGGTCACAGGGCGATGGGTTTAACGCACAGCAAGGTGTGACCAGTACAGCCTGAACCTTCCACAGGGTGGGACCGGGGCTGGGCTCTGGAGGAGGGGGCCTGGCAAACGGACTGGGAAAACGCTCCAAGCCTTCAGAGAGGTGTGGTGGTGGCAGGGAGGCAGCAGGCAGAGACACAAAGTCTGCAGTGGGTGAGAGGCAAAGGGTGCAGCTAAGAGAAGCCTGAGAAGAGCGTAGGGAGACCTTGACGCAAACCATCACCGCTCTGACAGAAGTCAGTGATGCAGCCTCCCTGCAAGCATCCCACACAGCTCTACCAGTGCAGTACAAGTCCTGCCTTACAACACCGCGGCTCTACAGCATCGCACCCCTGTACTGAGCGCTCTGCCAGCGTGACTGTGACCACCGAAGAGCAACAAGCCCAGCTCCCCTGGCTGCTTCCCCCAGCAGTCCCCAAGCGTTTCAGGAGCTGTGCGGGACACCCTCTGAGAACAGTGCCTCAATCACCACCCCGCTGCGTACAGCGGCGCCAGAACAGCCATATCGGCTCCAAGAAAAGGGCCGGGGCTCGAAGAGCAAGAACGTCACCACGCGGGCCACAGCAGAGCTGCAAGACGAGAGCGGCTGAGCGCCTACACTGGTGGGAAGGGGAGGGAGGCCCAGCACAGCAGGCACCTTTGGGTCTCTGCTGTCACTGCAGCACTGCCTTGGGCGAGGGCGGCAGGCAAGGGATGGAGGTCAGGCGGGGCAGCAGGCGGGCCGGGCCTGGGGCAGCAGGCAGGGCCAGCGCCAGCCTGGCAGGAGCAGGAGAGCAGATTAGACCATAATCTTGCAACCCACAGAGCTACTCCCGAGCTGCTTCGTCCGTTGATTTCAAGCCCACAGGCCTTCCTGAACGCCATCCCTCCTCCCAGCGCTGCCTCTCCT